AGATTTTAATTCAATTGGCTTTCAATTGCTAAGTGCTTATAGTGTAACACAGCATGGAAACAGACACTTTGGCCCAAACTGGTCCATGCTGAAACTAATTGGCTGATTCTAGCTCGTTGCGAAAACAGCAAAACCAAGTTTCCAATCACACAGCCAATTGATACATGTTTCAATTTTAGAATTGGCTGTAAAACTCCGGCGACCTGCAGACACCATTTTTTTTTTCCTCTGTATAAATCTCTAAGCTTAGAAAATCACTGTCTCAAAGGAGCCACACACTTGACACAACTTTGTAACATTACACCTCCCCGTTTCCAATCTATTGTCATTCAGATAATAATCTATCTTCCTGTTTTTGCTACTAAAGTGGATAACCTCATTTATCCACAATGTTATACCTGCCATGAATTTGCCCACTCACTCAACTTATCCAAATCACACTGAAGCATCTTTGCATCCTCCTCACAGTTTAAGCTCCCACCCAGCTTTGTCTCATGCAAATTTGGAGATATTATATTTAGTTCTCTCATCAAACCGGAAATGTATTTTGTCAATGGCTAGGGTCCCATCACCGATTCCCTGTGGGAAAAATGATGGCAGTTGCCATAATATTTCCAGACCATCGGGCAACTGATTTGAGGGGTTGGGGAGTGGTGCCAAGAGATGACTGGTGGTGGTTTAACCTGAGGGTCACCACACCTCAGGTGAGGGGGAGAGGTTAAGCAAGGAAATCCTTGATGACAACCCCAGCTGGTGCAGGAATCGAACCCATGTTGTTGGTATCCATGTCCATTGCAAACTGGCTGTAATGTCAACTGAGCTAACTGATGCCTGGAGCACCTCAGAGTTACTGCCTGCCATTTGGAAAAGACCATTTTATTCCTACTTTTTGTTTCCTGTCTGCCAACCAGTTTTGAAACCCTCTCATTGCACGGCCTCAAATCCGTGTGCTTTAATTTTACACGCTAATGTCTTTCGAGGGGCATTGTTAAAAGCTGCCTTCAAGTCCAAATAAACTGCATCCATTGGCTCCCCCTAAACTAACTGAATTTGAATGTCTGTTTGTCACAGTTGATGGGTTGAGGTACAAATAATAGCAATGTGAATGTAAAATGAAAAAATTATCCAGTTGGATTTGAGCGAGTACCCCTTTTTAAACTTGACACCATGATTGTTCTGGAATAATTCAGCAATCGTTTGGAATATGTAGTTCGAACTATATAATAGATGGGGAAGTGATAGCCTTGTGGTATTATCGCCCATACTGTTAATTCAGAGACCTCCGTAATGTTCTGGCATCCCAGGTTTGAATTCTGACATGGCAGATGGTGGGATATGATTTCAGTAAATGTCTAGAACTAAAGAGTTTAATGGTGACCATGAAACCATTGTCAATGATCAGAAAAACCCACCTGATAGACTAATGCCCCTTAGGGAAGGAAACTGCTGTACTTAGCTGGTTTGGCTTACACATGACTCGACCCACAGCAATGTGGTTGACTCTGAACTGCACCTGGGCAGTTAAAGATGGGTAATAAATACTGGCCTAGCCAGAGATGCCCATGAATGAGTTAAGAAAGGCACCCAAAATGCTAATACTCAAGGTCAGCGAAGGGAGAAAATTTTCCAAGCCAAGTGTGTTAATGTAGTTTCTCCAAAAATTTCCCTGAATTATTATTCATTTGTGCTGAAAGCAAAGTTTGAGACCGGGCTGAATCCCAAAGTAGTCTCCATGAAAGCATTTAAACATGTAGCAGGTACTGTATACTGATTCAGTTGGTATTGAAGTTTAACCGAAATCAGCCTTCATATGTAGAATTTGACAAGGTGAAGACTAGTACAGAGAAATGCACTTGTCAGTTAGCCATGTGTTTCTTTTAATGGGTTTACTCAAGCTCTTGCCATGTCAGGCCTTGTTCTGCACTGGAAGTGACCTTGATCACAGAAACATAATCCATGTCTCGACTTAAAGCTTTGTTTTGGGGAGAGTTGTTGGCAGATAAAAAATTAAATCATTTAAACTCTTCACCTGTGAAGGGCAGATTCACACAAGCACCATGTCTTTAGATTATTGTTATTGACGTAACAGACAGTGTGGGTTGGGTTTCACTTAGCTACATATGAATGTAGACAGAATAATGGAATGCCTGAGTTTTCCAACTGAGACACACAGGAAATTTCATTGTGAATTTGGCTGAAAAAGTTCACAAGTTTCAATTTGTTTTCCTCATGAGGACATTTTTCCTCATGTCCTCGCAGTTTGGGTCTCCTTTTACTTCATTCTGCTCCACTGTTGACAGCATTAGCAGCCAGATCTCAATTGAGTGTTGTGAGTTGACATTTGGTTCAATGTGCATGTTGATTTGGTTCTGTCTGAAACAGACTGTACAGTTTTTGATTATGC